GCAGTCGCGAAGTTCATTCGGTGCTAGTAGTGGTAGTCGTCGTCGTAGTAAACCTAGTTTAGTAGTAGTTAGTAGTAGTAGTAGTAGTAGTAGTAGGAGTAGGAGGAGGAGGAGCAGCAGCAGCAGCAGGAGTAGCAGTAGTAGTAGTCGTCGTCGTCGTTGTATTGGTGCTCGTAACAGCAATAGGTATTACTGAAGCTAATACTAATAAGTGGCCGTAGCAGCAAAAGGTCTAAGTTTGGAGTAGTGGCAGGAGCAGTTGTTGTTGTTGTTGCAGTTGCTGTTGCCGCTTTTGTTGTAGCTGTGGCTGTTGCTATTGCTGACAGTGTTGTCGTTGATGCTGTTCTTGTCGCCGCTTGCTGCTGCTGGCGTCGTGGTGGTTGCTGTTGTGGGTGTCGTTGAGGTTGTCGCCGTTGCATCGGAGTGGTGGCTTTTCTTGTTGCTGTTGCTACCGTGGCGTCGGCGGTACTGTTGTGGTCATCTTTGCCATAAGCACTTACATGGAAGATGTGTTTGGCATGCATCTCATCTAGCACTTTCTTGACGACAACACCTCCGACCTACGATTGTGCTAGCCCCACCGTTCCAGCTAAAGTGCCCACACCGACCACGATGGACTGCGCACTCGCTCTTCCGGTCATGTGGAAAAAAACAAGTAACATGCACCAGGTCACACAACTTCAAGTTGTTGCGCAGGGATTGCAGCTGCCGCTTGACGTTGGCAGCAGAAGCTGCCTTCTTAGTTTTCTGCGCCTGCGGTGCAGCGCTGCAGATTCCGCATGCCCTGCCCTCTCGTATGCCCATGGGCAAACACTACGTCCGCAGGAACTGCTGGTCTCAGGGTTTGAAACTTCAGCGTCGAGGGCCTACATTTGCAAGATCGCACATCTCACCCCAGCACCCCGAAACCAGAGAGTTGCCCCTGGCCCCTGATTCCTTCGGCTCGAGCTTGAGGGCAATGGCATCACGCTTGTGGATGGCTCGCTCCATCTCAACGATCGTTTGCTCCTCCGGGTTCGCTGATCTGCAGACCTCTAGAAAACCGGCATTCGATCCCTGCCAACATAGCCTCTCCCACATCCTACAAAACCGCCGGTTACCCAAGAAGTAGCAAATTCTGATCTGGTCCTGCCGCCGCTTCAACTGCTCAAGTCGCAGCTCCATGCGATGGATCTCCTGTTGACAAAACCCGATTCGTCGCTCGTTATCCAAGATGTCCAGTGCACGACTGCAGGCCCTTAACACCGTTCAAAAACTCACGGAAAAGGCGCACTGGACAGCGCGGCTGCAGACTGCGAGCTTCGATGCGAACAGTATCAAAAACCCTTGATACCCGCAAACTCGCATGTTTGCGACCCCAACCGGGACTCGATTTGAGGATGTGCGGACTGATGGCTCGGAGTACGACGGCCAACTAACATCCACAATGCTTAACCAGACTTCTGTTTACCTGACATTTTGAACAGCTCCTTCTTCATGGCCGAAGCATCCGACTGGCCAACGTTGGGATCCAGTGCTGCCTGCCTCAGCATGTTCGGAGTTTCGAAACATGGAGTGAGTTGCCCTTGAGTGAGGCCGACGGGATCATGCAGGCTGCCAGGCTGCGCTAGCAAGCTGTGGCTCTGAGCAAAAAGCTACGCATTACGGAGTGCAATGTCATGCAACATGGGCTGGTCCAGTACTCCTCTGCCAGAACTGACAGCATCCCAGGTGCATCTCCCTCTCGAGCGTAATTTTGCGCTCCCAAAGAAGGACCTGGCAAGACGAAAGAGTCGTACTTCTGATGCAGAACTCTGCTTGCAGTGGCGAGCCTGACGCTCAGATTCCAGGATATCCTGGTTCATCTGGTCCTTCTCCAGCTTCAGCTTCTCCACATCTCGCTCCTCAGCTGCGGCTGAATGCAAGATCGACTTGCCGGTTCTGCACCCCGCCAAGCTGCCATGTCCAGACACCTGGCCAACGAACAAACGCAACCAAGGGAGGATTGGAATCGCAGCAAGAGTCGAAAACATCAGCCTGTTCTCGATCTCTTTAAGCTTCTGAACAAATTCTGTCTCCATCATCTGGTTCGTGTTTGAGATCTCACCAGATCGCGCTTCATTCTTCACCAGCGCGCTGTTCATGCGATCCATGTCGAAACCTGCACAAAGATCACGTCTTGGGCACCGACAGAAGCCCTTTTATTCAGCGACTCAGATGCCGAGAAGGTGCGCAGATGCTTCATGTTGTTCTCGAGCTCTTTGATCTCCTTCTCGTGGCTGGAGAGCTGGCCCTCTATTCTGAGCTTCTTCCTGGACGAGCTTATCGAAGCCCATGCAGAAGCAGGTTTGGCCATGCACACATGATCGACTCTCATTCCCTTCTCCCTTTTTGGGCTATTCAAACATGTCGGGAGAACTGTTCCAAGACCATTTTCTTGTTCTTGTTCTCATTCAGCGTGGCCTGACATCCGAGTGACGGGAGACTCTTCTGCTCTGGCGGGAAGTCACGGTTTGGGGCTTGGAGGATCAGAGTTGTCTGGGCCTTGAGCTTGTCCGTCTCGCTGGAAATGGACAAGAGCTGGGTCTGCTTCTGGATCCAGTCCTCTGCACGTGAATCAAGCATGGCAATGTCACGCAACGGGCCGTATATCGCAACAGATTCGTGGTGCAGACAGTGTCCTTCTGCATTTCTGAACACTCTTTTGTGAGCTCGTTTATGGCTTTTCTCCTTGGTCAAAGGCCAATCCGCTTATATCACTTCTCAGACTTATCAGCTCAAGTCACCTACAAAGCACCTCAACTGAGGGCACTGCATATGCTTCAGCTTTGCTTCCTGGGGCCCAGCCACATCCTCGTCATTTCCAAGCTCTGCCTCCAACTTTGTCCTGCAAAGTGCGTGTTTTTGTAGGACGAAGGAAGCCCCACCTCAGGGCTGGTGAAGCGGCGCAGACAAAAAGCACGCCTCTTCTCGTCATACTCTCTGTTGAGGCGATCGACGAACAACTGCTTCTTTTCAATCTGGTGATGCCGCTTGCGGATTTCTTGCTCCTCGACAATGGGAATGCAATCAGGCTCTGAAATACCCTTTTTTCACATCCACTGTGGATCGGGAAAGAGACTTCCATCGGTGCACGCAAGGCTCATACTGCTCGATGAGCTTTTCTCTGTCTGCCAACTCGTCACCTGCAGACGAGAGTCAGGGGGAAGAGCCAGGACTGCAAGTGCTGGACACTTCAAGCAGGCTTCGGGTTCTGGGGCAACGGCTGAGCTGCTTGTGTCGATCTTTCAACATCTGGTTGTGTGCTTTGGTGTTCAAGCTATCCACGGTCACACGTGCGATCTCATTCAAGAGGTTCTGTGTCTCGACCTGAGCACAACTCAAGGCTGCACATGGCTGCACCAGGTCAGCGCAAGCTGCTGGTACCATGAATGTAGGTATTTGAGCCAGGACCACCCCATGGATCACAAGTACAAAGCAATCCGACCTCTTTGGCAGCTATCTCTTCTCGAATCTTCTTCATCCTCTTCCGGCCTCGGATCCCCGCAAACTGCAGCACCACCAAGGCAAACAGCTCCTACCACAGAGAAAGACCGAGCCCAAAGCTGTTGGCCGTGACACGCTCGCACGTGGTCTGCTCGCTCTGCTCCTTCGGATCGACAATGCAAAATTGTGAAAAGTCTTGCTGAGACACGAACTAGTCATCTTCTGACGATTGCTTCAGTCAGTTGTACGGCAGCTTCCGCTTTCTACCAGTCCTCCTCAATCTTTCCAACCATGGCGGTAATCTCGCGGGACACATTCTGCATGTTCCGCTCGAGCACTTCCATGGATCTAGTCTGCTCGGTGATTGCGGCTTTGAGCTTCTGCGTCTCTTCGAGATGCTGATCCATGCCTTCGCATGTCGGGTTGAGATCCCTTTGCAAAGTCATGCCTGTGCCTAGCATGGGAAGATTGGAAGCTGTGAGTCCGCAGCCAAGCGACTCTTGTTGAGGGTGGAATATTGGTCCATAAGCTTTTCTCGCTCTTGCTTGAGACTCGTCATCTGAGACTGCAGGTACTGCATCTCCTTGTCATTCCGATCCTTGGCGTCGGAAGACTTTCGTTGTTCGCAGACTTCGGAGGCTTCAGATGCACTGAGCCACCGGCTCTAAGGGCACAAAGCTGCTCGTGCCTTTCCTGAGGGGACAAACTCTGAATGCTGCAGAAGCAACTTCCATCCTCCTGCCTGCTCCGTCCGGATTGAGGAGTGCAGGCCCCGAATCTCGTTCTCGATGGCAAGCTCTGCCTACACTAGCAGTAGTAGTAGTAGTAGTAGTAGTAGTAGTAGAAGTAGTAGTCGGAGCAGTAGTAGTAGCAGTAGAGCAGTAGCAGTAGAGCAGTAGCAGTAGCAGTAGCAGTAGCAGTAGCAGTAGCAGTAGCAGTAGCAGTAGCAGTAGCAGTAGCAGTAGCAGTAGCAGTAGCAGTAGTAGTCTGTAGCAGCGGTGGCAGAAGTAGTAGCAGAAGTAGCAGTGCTCTCGACAGTTCGACCGTTCTGACTACCATAGGGATGGAAGCATGAAACCTTTGATCGGTGAATACTCACAAAAGTGTGCCAAGCCAGACTGCTGACATGCCTCAGTGCTCGGCATGGTATTAGGTTTACTGCTGGGGAACGAAGTCCGGCAAGCGGGAAGATGGCAGTGGGAGCCGCCTCGCTTTGCTCCTCGAGGGCTTTTTGAACGTTTTGCAGCGCTTCATCTCTGCGCTGCATGCCGACCAAGGAAGACCTTCATCGTGCAACGAGCTCTATGTTCAAGGCACAAACGCATGCTTGAAGTCTACGGGCGGCCAATGCCATGACTCTAAGTCAGGCAGTGATGGATCGAAGCCTTGCCTCCACTGCATCATGAGCTGCTTCCTTAGCATGCGAGAGCTTCCGGCTGACAGATCCCAAAGATCCTCGTCGACCCCTCCCCACTCCCAATGACCAGCTCAGGCACTTCTCGAACTCGATGGCTTCCATCTCCCGGCTAGCCTCTCGGAGTGTTGCCATGGCGGCCTCTGTCTCCTTTCCGAAAGAGAAACCGAGAGGGAGGAAGTTGCTTACATTGCGGTGGCCACATCGCCATCACCATTCTGATCACACGATGCATTCTCACGAAAATCATCATCATCATCATCATCATCATCATCATGAGGTGGTGGCAGTGGTGGCGGTGGCGGTGGCGGCGGCAGCGGTGGCGGCGGCGGTCACATGGGGGATGAGGAAGACAGACAGACAGGGAGGAGGAGGAGGAAGAGGAGGAGGAGGAGGACGACGACCACGAGGACAATAATGATGCAGGCAAGTAGGACAGTCAATACGTCTAGGAATTGCATGATCATTACCAGCTTGATTAGGAGGAGAGTCTCGAAACACACCGCATCCATTGTGACTGATGCATGCCAAGTCCGTCCTGGCGTTGTGCCGCGATCTGGGCATCGAGCAAGGCCTGTTCAACGAGGTGCGATGATGCTGACAATGATAGTACCAAGCATATGACCAGATGACCTTTGCATAGGCACCATCACAAAATTCACAGAGCGAACAATCTTGTAGCACTACTGGCTGCGATGAACTTCCCTTTGTCCGATGCACGGAACATCAGCAGCACCCGGTAAACCAGTACACGGTATAAGCACACTCCAGTGATCTTCAGGGAGGCGTGCTGGGGCCTTCCGCTCAGTCAGCCGCTTGATGTCCTCGTTCATCGAGTCGATCAGCAGGTCCTGCTTGCTCTTCATCTCCTCGATCTGCTTGATGTGGTCCTTGGATCGCTCAAGTGCTGTCGCTGTTCGTCTGGCAGGTCCGCATCCTTTCGGCCAAGGCTCCTCCGCCTTGTAGGTGGCCCGGCGGGTGACCTGGATCTCGGCCTTCATCTGCTCGTTGTATTCCTGAACCTGCCTAACTGTGATGTTCAGCTGGTTCAGCTCGTCCTGCCAACTACTCGCTGCCGCTCTCATCAGACATGAAGAGTAGCGCGCGGATTGCGGATGGGTGTGGATGGGTGGTTCGTCCTGCGACTTGGCCAGCCTTCGCGTGGCCTCCTCCACCTCGACCTTCTTGCCTTCCCAGTCGGACGTGACATTTTTCAGCTTCTCATCGTCCTTCATGCACGGAACCGCTTTCCCCTGTCACACTTGGAGGCCTTTAAGGCCGTTAGGGAAGTCCAAGTCTCCTCCAGGCGCTGCCCCTGAACCATAGCATACCTAGGGCGAGACGGGCTCATTATTAGGCCAACGGGGCTTCAATACGTGAACAGCGAGGTCCAGAAGAGCAGCAACATTGGTATTTACCCGCTCACTGAGAGCGACACTTGTCATGCAGCTGCTCTAGCTGCAGCTGCAATTTGGCAAGTTGTTGCTGGGCACCATACAGAGTCACGCCTGGTCAACGAACACTCCGCAGCTCTGTGCTGTTGTTATCGATCTTTTGTCGTGGCCACCACCCCCCCGAGCTCGCCTATGTCCTCCCGGTGCTTCACAAGCTTTTTAAGCTCCTGGCAGTGGGTCAAAGATCTCAGAGTCCCAGTCCGGCAGCCGGCCGCGCCTCCTGCTTTTCTCGCAGCTGGAGGGTGACCCGGTCATTATGACCGGTCAGCTGCTTTCGCCAGGCTTCTTGGAGCCTCAAAAGCAGAGAGGACAGGCCCTGCCGGGCCGTGGCGAGGCGGCGAGAGGCGAGTCCCAAGGAGGCCGAGGAAAGCACCGCTTGTAAGCCGGATGGTCGGCTTTCAAGAAGGGGAAGTCGCCCTCACGAGTGTCTCGGATAATGGGAACACCTTATCCCTGCGCACGACTTGAGGGCAGCACATCGTCCACATCTTCTCCCTCATCCTTGAGCAGATAGATATGAAAGCAATAAGTGTCCATGTGCCTCTCTTTGCGGAAACATCCGTGCCTGTGGGTCCGGGCCCGGTGAATCAGCCATACTGCACCTTTGATTTCCCGTAGCAGCGTGATGCAAGCGATCGCAGCGTTGAAAGTTTCTGAGTCTGTCGCCACCGCTTCTCCTCGGCTCCCTTTGAGAGCCAGTCTAGGGTAGCCAGAAAAATGGCGGCAATTGGCAGTGGTCGTGCGCAAGATGCAGGGACATGAATGAACACAGAAGAGAACAGTAAGACCACCAGCTGATGCATCCGTTGGCAAAGACAGTCCTCACCTAGCAAGCCAGTCTCGGCAGCCTTCGTGTTGCAGCTAACACTTTCCTCCTCTTGATACACACCATTCACCGCGGCAATCTTGCAGTTCCTGGAGAACACGCGTATTCTGTACAAAGGTCGCCTACTGATACCCTCCTGCAAATCAGACAAGTCCGGTAAGCCCATGACTTGGAGCGACTGGGTCCAGTTCGCAGGAGGGCTCGGGACTGGTGGTCTTCATTAACGGCATACGTAGGACGTACGGACATGCATGAAGCCATGGGCGCGGCAGCGTTGGAGGCTCTCTGACGTTGCGCCGACAGGTATGGACACGGCCGCGCCGCACGGCCAGGTGAAATGATACAAGGCGGCAGCTGCCGAGCATGCATAGGTGGACGTGAGTAGTCCGCCGAACTACTTTATGCGCAACCAACGCCATTAAGCCTCCCAACCCTCTTCATCCGGAGTCCACCCAATAACAAATCACATCAAGCAGCGATGGCGCACACGTGGGAGGTGAAAAGAGCTATGAGCTTGCCGAAGGACATTCGGCTCTCAATCCTACTTTGCTAGCTAGTACTGCGCATTCTGAGGAGATGAGCACCATGGACACTCCTGGTCATTCGTGAAAGCTTTCACTTAGACAACAGGCTACCTGAGTGAAGATCGCCAGCTTGCAACTATTCGGCCAGTAGATGTGACAAGTTCTTGATCCGAGAACCTCTGCCACTTAGTCCTGCCTTGAACATCTGCACCCAGATGTTCCAGTCGTCCCGATTCGCGGCGGAATGGCACACCTGGAGGCAGCATGCCAAAAGTGCCCTGCACCCAGAAAGCACAACCACAGAAGCAAAGCCCTGCGAAGCTCCGGCCAAGCAACCGTGCATTCCACGCGCGTTTTCTTCAGCACGGGAAAGCCCGAGATGATCTGACAATAACACGAATACTGAACCTCTGGACTTCCATCGCTGATCCGCCCACTGAGGTGCATGCACAGGGCTCACTGACCGTTCCGCAGTGCCTCGCACTTTCGGCAGACTTTCACGAGGCTTCAAGCATGTGCAAGACGGGGACTGCACAGCTTTTGTCTTTCTTGGTGCAGGAGAGGGGCGGGCACGTCGCTGCGCCAGTGTAGATATGCGCCCCACACCTGGCCAAACAGCTGAATAAACATGGAATGTGCAGATCGTGTAAGTGGGGAGGCAGCGCTTGTCGCATGACCGCAGGTCCATCTTCTGCTGGACGTTTTGATCCATCGACCAACCCAAAACCCAATCGCGAATCTCTTCGACCTTTGAAGAAGGACCATGCAGCTCCACAATCAGCATGCGATGCTCTGAGCGTGGCCACACTTCCCGGCCTTGTCATTGGAAATGTGAGCTTGCTCAGGAAGGTCCAGATCCTCAGCGCAAACAAAGAGAAAGCAAGCAAAACGACTAGGCCTCGCGAGGTCGGCACGTAGGGTGAAGGAATGTCGGTCTCCATGAAGTCCGTGTTATCAATCGCAGCATTGTCCGGATCTTCGATTGCATCTGCGATGTCAAGGAACCGGTTCAGGAAGAAGAAGGACATATTGATCATACCTGCACGAACTCAACTCTCTCTTGGGACGTCAGCAAGAGAAGAGAAGAAAAGCCACTGCATGTCTGGCCTGCGTTTTTGCAGTCAATACCAGCGTCGTAGAACGCGAGATCTAAAGGGAACTCTGCACAGTATCCTCAGGCAGTTCGTCAGCAGAGGCTGAGTATGAAACATTATGAAACAGTGGAAGCGACAGGGGTTGCTGCATGCCAACTTCACGAAACAGTACAGCCACAAGCTCACTGCTTGAACACGATACAAGTACCTCGGATTCGACAGGCACGTAATCACCAGGTCCCTGGCGACAGAGTGCAACGCTGATCTTCGCTACAACCTCTGGGGCCATGTTCCTCTCCCGCAACCTGCAGCTCAAGCTCGGCTACTGCGTAAGGAAGTGAAGCATCGTGAGACGGCTCTGGCAGACCTGACCTAATCATCGACAGCAATCACTCAAAACGAGACCTGACAGACACAGTAGATCAGAGAGATGAACGGGAGACTACCGTCGATCGGAAGAGGAAAATCGAAGCTAGGGCAGGCTCAGTATCAAAATACCTCGGACAATCTACATTCCAAGAGAGAGAAAGGACGGGCCTCTCCCGAACCGTCTGCAAATGTGCGGTCAGGAGGGCCTGCGCGGGCAAGACTTTCGAAAAGGGCGAGCGAACATGACTCCTCGGGCCTTGAGAAACTCCGCCTGGGGACGGCGATCTTCCGAGAGGATCTTTGGAGTGGGCGGTGCTGGCAGGTCGGGAATGCTGTCTTGAGTCTTTTCCAAAGAGTGCGGTGAGTTGTGTCGCCGCACCTCCCAAGGTGCCCGGTGGCATCGTGACACGAAGCAGCATCTCCCGCACCAGCGGTGGCCCCGTTGCATCAGGCTTGGCCCTGGGGCGCACAAAGAGACAGCGCTGCTTTTGTCCTGCGATTCTTGTAGTAGAAGCTTGGGCAGCAGCAGCAGCTCGGTGTGAATGTGCTGAAATCAGGCGGGCCCATTCATCAGCGAGAGGCAATTTAAATTGCTTCCTGCTCTGCGGCCTTGTAGAGCTGGAAGTTGGACTGCTCGGGCGGCGGGCCAAATCGGACCAGCATCTGCGCGGCCTGCCGGTGTTGGCACATCCGGAACCAGATCTTGGGAGTCAGGCCAAGTCCCTCCCTGGCCTCCGTGACCTCCTGCCTGTTGACCAAAACCTTGCAGTATTGCACCTGCCACGCTGTGGGCAGGCTGTGGGCAGAGAGGAAGCTGTTTGATCACTCTGACGCGACACCAAGAGTCTGTGGAACTCCTCTCATCGCTGTTCGTTCGATTTGTTTCACTGAATCTTTCCAGCAGGTACATCAGTGACAAGGCTTCAAACTGGGAACTGGGAATGAACACTGAAATTCGATCGAGTTGTCAGACAGATTTTCACGTAGCTGTTGTGCAGTGAGCATTTATGAGACCGTGCAAACATGCAGGGGGTGGACCAGGTAGTGGGGCAGCATCTTCGGGCTGTGCTTCTCGGCCAGCGCCAGGCACTTTGTCCAGTCTCCATTGCGAGCGTACATGTCCAGCCTCATTTGCAGCTTTGACACGGGTCTCGCTGCACTTCTCGGATGTCTGGGAGCCAGGCGCGCTGTCCACGTCTCCCGTTCGTCGAATCAGCTCGTCTCCATCGCCTGTGTCGCCATCGGATCGGAAGCTCGTAGCAGCTCGGACTACTTAAGCTTAAAATGGCACGAACCGAGATCACAACCTTTGCCCACCAAATCGGACTTGTACCTGCCGTGAATCCTAATTACATGCTGTGCACAGGGGCAGCTTCTCATGACTGTCATACACAGGGTCTGCAAAAGCTGGAGCGGCTTGCTACACGGCGCACCTATCCTCCACCACACGAACCATGTCTGGGCAGTGCTGCTGCGCCAACTGCCGCGCTTTGTCCCAAACCTCCAGCCACGAGCACGACAATACAACACCGGTGGCACTGTGCGGCCGCGTCATGCCAGGCCTCGCCGGCGATGTAGCAGTTCACAGCTTCGCGGAAAGCGTCGATACTTTCGTAAAGCTCCGCGGCTGCCTGAAGCTTCCAGGTTGGCACGGATCCAAAAAGACTGGAGAGCTGGCCTCAAAGCGCTGGATAAGCTTCAACCTCTTCGACACGATCGACACGATCTCGGGGTAGCGCTCCTGCGGAGCCACCGTCGCAGAGTCTGCGGATCACACAATTACACAGCCCTTACAGCCCTTAGCCGCTATGACTCGCAGGACCTCGGTTCCCCCACAAACTTCGCCCCCGGTCCGGCGCGTGCTTCATCGAGAGGCGCACCGCGTTTTCCCAGACCTGTCACGGAGGCTCGTGACTGCGGGGTTCCCTGACAGAGACTGCGACATGGGAGCACCAAGTCGACAACGTCCATACAAGAACCTACGACAGAAGCACTACTTGCCTCCACCGCCTGAACCCCATGAACCGACCGAACCCATGTGCTCCCAGGAACTTCTTTCGGGCGTCTCCTGTCCAGGCTCCTGCATGAAACGAGTCCAACCAAGCACAACTGAAAAGTTGCAGCCGGTGGGTCAGCTGGGCCTCCGAATTGGCCTCGCTTCGCATGCTCCAGAGGTTCTGTACACGCTAGGCCCTTCGCAACAGGCCCTGTACAAGAGAGGCTTCTGCCAGGCTGTCATCGTAGCTGAGCAGCCCTTTGCTGGCAAAAGCGAAAATTTAAGAGTTGCTCACTTGCCCTGCTGCATCATCATGGAACGCTTCTTCTGAGTCTTCTGCATCTGCGTTTCCTGAAGCACCAGAAACTGTGAAACACACGCAGGAAAATGCTGCATTTTGAGGGCCGCAAGCGTCCTCATCACCATTGGGCTTCCAGAGCCCTCGGTGCAGGACTTCTGCCGCAGCATCATGAACCTCAAATTGGCACATCCGACCACTCTCGATGTCTTCTATTGATCCAGGCTTTAGCCGGTTCAAGGCTTCGTGACGACCGCCTAAATGACGGAAGCTTCGCTGTGCAAATGCGGGGGCCATTCGGCGTACTCGACTGCGACCGAAGAACCTTTTCCCAGCCGTGGAAGCGACCGCGCTGGCTCAGCGTGCCGACGGC